TATAAGTGCACAGGGCCAAAGTTCTGGTCCTGGAACTAGGAAGGAGCGTGAGAGTTGGCCTGTGCATCTTAGCCTCATGCTCCATCTTTGGGTGGAGACACGCAGATTCCTAGAGCAGACTGTGCCTTGCCCCAAGTTAGTATTTTCACTAAAATTTGCCTCCTCTGGGCTTCAGAAGCCTCCACTGGTATGAGGAGCTCAGAGTCTGTCATGGTTAGACTGGGAAAACAGACTTGCTCAGCCTGCTTGAGGGGGAAACTTCAGGTCAAAGGAGTAGGGGCATCTCTCTGATTTTTCCCCTGGTAAATTAATCTCAAAATTCTCAAGAATGCAAACTTCTGCAGGAAAATCACCCAGGGTGGGAGGAGGGTTATTTTCTTTTAGTCTGTAGGCCATCAGAAGCTGGCTCATGTGCTGATAAACATCCCCTCCCTGCTTCCCAAGGACAGGGCTGGGTCTCTTTCCACTTGCTTCCAAGGTTCCTTCCTGACAAACTGGTGGTGCCAGCCACCTTCTCCCAGGCCAGCTCCAGATGCTAGTTGGGAATTTGGCATTTAAGGAATAATTCCAGGCCATTCTGAAAGTTCAGTGGCCACTGCCCACAGATGGAGAACATTCCAGAATAGCTAGAGATAGGAGGGGGTGAGGAGAGGTAGGGTGGGCTAGTCTGTGATTTTCAGGATGAAGTGTCTTTAGTTTCTGGGTAGGACAACAGAATATAGCGTAAGGGGCTTTTTTTCCCAAGGAGTAGTAGGCAAATGATCCTAAGTGAGGAAGTAGAGTGTAAGAAAACATGTAAGATACTCAGCGAGTCCCTGAGAAGTTGGTATTATCTTGTTGAAAGGACCACAATAATCCGACTATTGTCATGGGCAAATATGGCTCACCATCCCTTTCAATTTTTAAAGATTTATTTATTTATGCATGCAGAACTGGGGTACAGGCCAGAGGTGCAGGGGCAGTGAGAGGATTCACCAGAGACAGAGTGGGGAGCAGAACAGGCTGACTGACAAAGCACACTGCTCAGGGGAGCAGCAGGTGGGTCAGGAGAGGTCTGTCGTGTCCTGTGGGTCACCTCCGGGGATGGGATCCAACTCATGCTGAAGTGGCTTTAGTTTCTTGGTGCAGTGCTTTAACATGCTGCGCCATCAGGGAGGGCTCTCCTTTCAATTTTTTAAAGAGAAATTGGAAATCCAAATTTTGTGTGATGTCTCCTAGTTACTGAGATGGTACCAGTAGAAACATGGTGCCCTCTGCGGATGGCTTGGTCTCAGGGGATCCGGGGTCTACTGACACAGTAAGCCCTTGCCCAGTGTATCTTTCTCCCTGTATTCCTGTGTCCTTAATTTTAAAACTGTTTCAGAGAGGAGTCTTGGTCTTTTAAACCAGTGGCTTGGTGTTCATGGCTCAAGATTTTGTCTTCATGGCAAGACAAAGAAGGAGCTGTATTAGTTTCCTATTGCTGTGGTAACAAATCACCACACACTTAATAGCTTAACCAATGCAAATTTACTATCTCCCAGTTTTGTAGATCAGAAGTCTGATGCAGTCTTTCTAGGCCAACATCAAGGTGTCAGTGGGGCTGGGTTCCTTGCCTTTTCCTGCCACCACCAGTGCTTCCCCATTCCTTAGTTCCTGGCCCCCTTTCCAGTCCTCAAGCTAGCAACAGGTCCACTATTTTTTTTTTTAAGATTTATTTTGTTTATTTATGTATATAAGAGCTGGGATATAGGATAGAGTTGGGGTGAGGGTGAAAGTATTCCCCAGAGACAGACTGGGAAGCAGAACCCATGTGGGTCTGCTCCCTGGCCAGGGATTGAACTCATGCTGCAGTGGCTATTGATAACTTCATAGTACTGAGACTTAATCTCTTGTAACACCAGGAAGGAACAAGCATAGTCTTTATATCAAATCTCTCACTGCAGTATGAAAAAGTTCGCCAGTTTTAGGGATTCACATGATTTGGCCCACAGATAATCCCAACCTCAAGGTTATCCTTTCAACCGCATCTGCAAAGTCCCATTTGCAGTAAGAGGGAACATATTCACAGGTTCAGGAATTACAGTGTGAACAGGGCTCTTTTCTAACCTTCTGGATCTTTTGCTCCTTTTTTTTTTTTGCTCCGTGATAAACAGGGTTTATTTTTCCTTATAACCTGGCACACCCTTTTCTTTGGGAGAACTTCCCTAATGGGGGGGGCCCTCCAATATGATCCTTAGCAGCCTCTTCTTTCTTGGGGCTGCCTGTCCCTATGGAACTTCCCAGCTGGGCTTAGCAAGCATTCCCCACCTCCTGGGGAAACTGGCTGCAGGACCTGCCACCTGGATTTGAATTGACATGACAGAAGTGAGGTGACAAGGAGCAAGGAGCAGGGCAGGATGACAAGAACAGCTTGGGTCAGGTCGGGTTCTCAGCTCCCAAGGGGTGAGGCTTAGCCCGTTGGAAGCGCAGGTTGAATCTAACAAGAGCACATTTATTCCAGTGGGTTTTCAAATCCTTTGGTTGTGGTTCAAATGGTCAACTGGCCAAGAACAGGCTGAATGAGATGAGACATTTAACCTGGGATTTTGTAGGTGGGAGTGAGCCCTTCCTGGGACAGGGATCTGTTGAAGGATAGGACTGATTCTATCTGATATAACCTGATATAATCTGATGCTGGCCTCCTCTTCCTGAACCACATACATCCTAAACACACCCTCCCCCAACATACACACACATCCTTACTGGTGGAGTAAAAGGTAAGCAAAGCATAGCAGCATGATGAGACACATAGATTCTAAAGATGATCGATCACCCAGCTTCAAATCCCTGTCATACTTATTCTTTGCGGGAATAACTCTTTGGGAAAAGTACTTACCTCAGTTTCTTGCAATTACACCTACTTTATAGGGTTTTTATGAGGGTCAAGTGAGTTAATATCTATAAAAGAGTAAGTATCTTGGGTTTAGGTACTTTATAATTAAATAACAACCGAAAAAAAAACATATAATCTGCTCTGTGATAATAATCTGGAAGCCTGATCTTTGATCAAATATACTTAACTAGTTATACTTCCTACTAGAGCTTAGAATTAAAATGTCAGTTATTCAATCAGAGGAGTCTACAGGACTTGGCTGAGGCCTACTCAGACTCACACATAACGCTGTCGTTATAGATGACATTAGCAGTAATATATTTTCTAGTCTAAACAAAGGGAATCACAGTTCTAGTAGAACAGGGACTAGTGATAGTCTCTGTGTGACTAGTAGAACAGGGACTAGTGATAGTCTCTGTGTGAGCTGCAGTTATTTTAGGCTTCTTTCTAGTTTTGCTTATGTCATGTGCCCCTGGTTCTGAGAGGGGACAAGTGCATTTTCATCAGAGCCACATTCCTAATGAAGGCCTCCCTGTTTGCCGCAGGTAAATCTGCTCTTCAGTAGTGATGAGGCAGCAGCCTGTGCCTTTGTACGTTTCTCTCTTAGCAAACCTGTCCTTTTCTGTGGCAGCCCTTTCTGCCTGCTTGTATCTATGTAAGTGTCCTTTACTCGTGTCCTTTTTATAATAAACCTGCCCTTTGGATATAAAACAAAAATGTGATGAGCCAGTGGATCTTGCTGGCCTCCCATCTTAGATGCTGAGCTTGAAGCATTGGGATCAGTTCTAGATGTCAGTGCTGGCAAGGTGGAGAGAGATAACTTGAAATGTGATGAAGTACAGATTCTTGGAAATAATCGGGATTTTAGGCTGGAATTCAGAAGAGGCACAGGGGAGCCCACAAGGGCTGACTCCACACCATGGGAAAGATGGAGGGAAATGAGGAACACTGATTAAATACTGACTTGCTCGGGACATTGTATCTCATAGTTAGTTAAATACCCATGTCATCCCAGTGGAAACAGACAGAAGCAGCACTGCATGTAACTAGGAGGGGAGAAGATAAATGTCTTACTCACTGTTTGATTGTCCCAGTGCTCGAAAAGCTACCAGGTCCTTCAGCTTCTTCTCACTACCACTAGTGTGTGTGTGTAAGATTGGAAATTTCTAATACTAAGAGCCAGTGAAATGGTGTGGGGATTAGGTAGTGGCTCTCAGCTGTTAGAAATGCTTCAGGACTGTTGTCACAGACACCGACAAATTTGGAGAGTAGATGTGGATACCCATAAAGGCTCCTTCCATCTCTGAGTTTCTATGCTTTGGGGAAAGACATATACTTTATGTAAATATTAAGTGATCCCCCCTGTGTTTCTCCTTCTTTCTTTTATCCTATTCCATTCTCCCATTGGGGAAGGTATTGCTTTCTGGGTACATTTTTTTTTTTAAGGAGGTATTTGGTAACCTGCAACCTGGCCTGGGATAACAAAAAGAATATAATATTCTGATTATTGAATCTGATTTTTGACTAAGTTACCTAAGAGAAGATTTTGCTATAGTCCCCTGAGAGTATATAAGCAAAATCTCCGAGAGAGTATAAACAAAGCAATTATATCACCTCTTTTCTTCCCTTCCAGTTATTTGGTACCAGATAAAACCCACACTTCTGAATGTAGGATTTAATACTGGGATTCACTTTAGAAAATATTCTGCGATTCCGTCAGATAGGGACTGAATGTAGAAATCACACTGGCTTTTTGAAAATGAGGTTATATATCTTGCACACCTGAGCTAGAGAATCGAGTCCTCTTTTAAGCGTGGGAGATGGAGGGTGGGCTGGAGTCACACAAATGACGCCAACCAGAAGTGGGTGGTCCTCTGCTGCCCCTATGTGGACACAGCTGGAAATAACAGGTAAAGATTTCACCTGCAGCCAGAAGGTGGACTAGGAATCAGGAGAGCGGGTCCCTTAAAAGCTGGGGAATGTTTAAAGAAAGGGTGTGTGTGCTGGGGGGAGGAGGTGGAAGTGGGAAGGGGTAGGGAGCGAGGATTATGACCAATATGAAGGAAGTAGGAGCTGTTGCTCTCCCCAGCAAGGTTGGGGTTCTCGAGAGGGGCACTGAAATCATTTAAGCTGTCAACGATTCAAGAGAACTTTTTGTTCACGATCTTTATTTTTCCTTGAGACACTGGGGTCCATTCAGCAATGATCATACAAAGACTCCCAGTCATGCACCTCTGCAGTTTCTGGCCACACCCAGCATCCACCGGCACCGTGCCAGCCCTTACACGCCTCCTCTTCCTGTGTTTGGAGTAACACGTCTGTGGGTTTTCCCCTCCAGTTTCACAGCTTTCACACCATCTCCTCACCGTCTGCCTCTATGCTACCATCCCCACGCAGCTTTGCCCTGGCACATCCAGGCTTGCCACACCCCAACTTTGCTGCACTGGCACAGGACAGAGACAGTCCTTTTGCGTTGATAAGCGAGAGAGCAGGAACACTTGGGCACAAAGAGGCGAAGGGCTGAAATCACTGGGGGCACACTCGCTGGAATCTAGGGGTATTGGCATTGCAGGACTGGCTTCAACCTACAGCCCAGCTGCTTCCTTTCCTAGTCAAGAAGCTGCTCACCACACTACCCAACTGCACCCCCACCCCTTCCCAGCAAATCGCAGCAGGGCCCTGGTATCACTCCAGCCCTTTCGCTCTCCCACAGGAGAGAATGGCTAATCGGGGCCTCTGCTCCCTCCACCTGGACCACCTGTCTCCAGCTGGGAGCCAGGGACCCAGCGCCTGGCCTGGTCTGGTCTAGCCTGACCACCCTCTTCCTCCTTCTCTTCTTCCCTCATGCCTCCAGCCCCTGCCGCAGCCTGCGGTCCAGGGCCAGGAGCTGCCTCAGGAAGCCCCGGTTGGGGATGATGCCTCGTTGATCCTTGACTTTCTTGATGGCCTGCACGAGGGTGAGATGGTGGTACAGCATGAGGTAGGCCAGCACCAGGGTGGCGGATCGGCTCACGCCCACTGCACAGTGCACCAGGATCTTCCCTGTGAGGACAGAGAGACAGCTGTGGGGCTCTTTGCGGTGGGCTGGAGGAGGCTGGGGAGAGGGATACTGCGACAGGTGAGGAGAACAGGTAAGGAGAGGCACATGGTGCTACAGAGGGAGGTGGGAAGAAGGCAGAGCCCTGCATGTTGGGGCTACAGGCTGGGGGTTGGGGGGAGAAGGAAAGTGCTGAACTGAATGAGTTGCACAGCATGCAGCAGTAGGGACCTATGATCCAGAACAGCACACAGAGGTAGAGACTCATGACTCATGTAAAACCCAGCTTCCCGGTGGCGCAGGGACTCGGTAGGAGCTTCCCGAGGAGCCATGGAAGCACCCAGGGTCTGGCCGGCTAAATCTTCTATCTCCACACCTGCCTTTCTTGCTACTTCTAGCAACGATGCTTTTGAGGGATGTTTTACTATACTTTAAATTATATATTTACTTTTACTGACCACTTGAGCAAGATATACTCAAGGTAAAAATAACTGGAAAATGTAGAAGAATGTAAAGAAGCAAGCAATTTAAAAATGGCTTTACCCATAATCTGGGCCCTCCCCCAGCGATTTGCTAACCTTTTGGAGTATTTCCTTCTTGTCCTTTAACATACTGCTTTTTAAAGTGGTAAAGAGATTATTTTTCTCTCCTGAGCATTTGTCATGTCGTTAAAATCTCTGCCTCTCCGTAGGTGACCCCTTGGGTTTTTCTTGACCTCAGCGTGTGTGTCTGTCCTTGTGCCTCCTTTCCCCTCTTACCTCCCGGCTGGCTCAGCGCCCGGTGGATGAAGTCGGCGGCCGTTTGGAAGTGGATGCTCATGTCAAAGGCTGGTGAATCGTGCGCCTCGACCCCCAAGTAGCGGATGCCCAGCCCTTCATAGGCTTCCGGGGTGCCTCGCCACCTGCTGTGTGACGCATTGAGGACATGGGTGATACCCAGGCGACGGAGCTCACGGCGGTTGTTAGCTATGTCCCTGCAGTGAGCAGAGAGTAGGAGGATGGGGAACCTGTGGGTCAGAAGTCCTTGTCCACAGCCCCACTGCTGCCTACGTGTTCTCCATCTCTTCCATTCTCGCTCACAGCACAGGCTGCAGGTCTCTACTTACTGAGGACACAGAAGGGAGGAATCAGGATGGCCAGCCCTGGACAGTACTGGGGATGTGTTGCCTGGAGAGCAGATTAAGGGGTTGGGTGAAGGCTGGTCCTAATAAAATACTGACAGAGTGATCAGAGGCAGGGTGACTGTACCTCCTCCGTAGGATTTACTGCATCTGCCTGTCAGTACAAGCCATTAGTGGAATCTAGCTGAGGAGATTGGAGCACTCTGGATGAGAATGATTTTCCTGTCAGCAGGGGTATTCCAGCAGGGAGGAGTGTAGTCAGAGATGCAGCAGAGGGGACGTGATCAGGCAGGTTGGACCAGCTTATATTAACATCCTTGGCAACCTTGAAATGCTATGATTCTGATGCCTGCACTCACATCTTACTCCCCCGTTACTTGATACTCCCTTGGATGCAGAATCTCATGCTTTGCACCTACTCCGTGTTCAGACCATGTTTCATGGAGTCACCTTCAGGTGTTCATATGGCCCATACCCTCAGATAACAAGGTCATATCTCAGGGCAAGGCCCAGTCCAGAGCAAACTCAAGTAGAAAGAGCATTGAACATGAACCTCCAAGTACCCATGTGACCTTGGGAACATCTCTGAGCTTTAGTTTCCTTAGTAACTTGGGGATCATGGTACTGACCTCACAAGGCTGCTGTGAAGATTATGAGAAAAAACGCACGTGGAAAACTCTCCCTAGACAATGAAGCCCTTGCTCCCAAGCCAAATCTGCTCTGGGGTTTTCTCTCCAGAGCCCATCTGGCAGAGCCTCTGTATACACTGCGGTGTGGTTTGATCAACCCTTCGACTTACTACCCACTGTGCTTGGCTCCCAGTGTTGGCCTTTTTTCAAAATCATACCACAGTGGATGAGAAGTCAGAGAAATCATCTATTATGTCCGGTACAGAGCACAGGCATGCAACAACAAATATTTGCTAACTGACATGGTTACTTGAACAAAATCTTTCTGTCCAGAGTTGTATATATCAATAATACAAACTCCTCAACCTCTTCCCTCCCCCGCTTCCAGCCTCCCTGCCCATGCACAACCCCTTAATCTGCATCCTGGAACCAACAGTGCCACCCACTGCCTCTCTGCCACCTTTCTCCTTGTGCACGCATACACGCACACGTTTACACTCACACACTCAGCTGTGCTCCCAGCCTGCCAGATACTTACTGATCTCCAAGGTAGAGGCCTGGCCAGACCTCGTCGGCATGGTTACAGGCTGTCTTGCCTGTGTAGAGGAGCCTCTCCAATTCAAAGACATTGAGGAAGGGATGTTGAACGCTTGGCATCTCCTCCAGGGCACCTCTGGTGCGGACAGGAGACCGGGAGCTACTCCGGGAGAAGCGGGCCATAAAAGTCATGGAGGCCCAGAGCCAGTTTCCAGGGCACATCTTCAAAGTGGCAGGAACGGGGCAGCTGCAGGGTGGCCGTGATGACAGGTCGCGTCTCTAGGTAGCTGTTGCTGAAAGAGGAAGGGATGTGAGACACACCCAAGGACTGAAGTCAGCTGTTCCCCTTCTGCCAACTGGGCTGAGCACTGGGGAAGAGTCTCCAGGGAGGGAGGTTATGTCTGGCCTTGGCAGGACCTCCGGGACTAACCTCTCCTTCAAGCTGCAGCGGCTCCTTCCTCTCTGCTCTTTGGCTCTGTCATGCAAGGAGGTGGGAGAGTCACATGTCCTTGTTTACGGGGAGAGGGAGCTGCCCAGTGGCTGGTTTCATCTTT